TCCTTCGCCAGCGCCACCTTCGTCAGTTCCGCTACGTTGGTCGGGTTGATGAGGACGGGGTAAGTCACGTTCTTGAACTTGACTTCGATGCCTTGACAGATGGAGAGTTCGAGTTTGGCGTGAGATATTTCATATAGTATGTACAGATGGACCGCATATACACATACATGTATACATATATACACGTACACACACACATACAAATAAACAAGCAAAACACACACACACAAACTCCCTCACTTACTCTCTCTTTACTCCCTCCTCAATTCCCACTTTTACTCTCTCTTTACTCCCTTATTTACTCCCTCCTTACTCCCTCATTACTACCTCCTTACTCCCTCTTTACTCTCTCCTTTATTGCCCTCCTTACTCCCCTCTTTACTCACTCCTCACTCCCTCCTTTACTCTCTCTTTTATTCCCACCTTTACTCCCTCCTTACTTCCTCTTTACTATTTCCTTTACTCCCTCTTTATTCCCTCCTTACTCCCGTCCTCACTCCCTCCTTTCCTCACCAACTTCCGTGTTTCCCACAACGATTCGAGCGCCAGGATGCTCGGCCTTGAGAGAGAGGAGCTCGGAGAGGGAGCTCGGCCTGAAGTACGAGACACGGGGTCCGCGGAACACGAGGTTCTGCCTCTGCCATTCCAGGTGGAGCTGCGGGCGACGGAGACTTCTTTGAGCCTTCAGTAGTAGTTTACTTATAATAACAAATATATAGAGTTTATTTTATCGAAGTTTATGAAAGATTAGTTTTATTGACAAATAAAATGAGAGGAAAGAAATGAATGAATTTGTGTGTTTTGTTAGCAAATGAATAAAGAAAGTCTCAGTCTCTGTGTGTATGGTATCCTATCTTTTTTTACCTTAAGTTCTGGCGGGAAGATAATTTCTTGGCTTGGGTCGTAAGGCTGAAATTCCTCAGTGTCGTAAAGCACATAAGAGATGTTATCGGTGACTCCGTTGACATCTCCGTTCACGTCACCGTTCATGTATCCGTTCACCTCACCGTTCATTTCTCCGTTCATCACTTTGCCAACAGGGCCGTTTTCTGAAATAAGCGACGGTGGTCCCTTCTGTGCGGAATCTTCTGAAAACAAATAGATAAATAAATTGAATAATAAAAAAAGACGTGAGAAGCAGGAGAAATTAGAAATTGCCTGGGACGGATAAAGGAGGGGGAGGAAAAAAGGGTGAGAGAAATAAGAGGAAATTTGTAATAATGACGCAGCAACATCTACAACATTAACAAATCCATTTCCAATCGAGGATTTGACAGAACTCCAAAAAATATCTCACCAATCCATTAATAGCTTCCACATTACCTTTTATATCACATCCCTTGCCCCTCTTTCTACAACAGTCACTCCGGCCACAGCTGCCTCCTGTCCCTGCGTCGGTGGTGAAGCTCCTGAAGCCTTCTAAGATGGGTCTGTAGCCCGTGCAGCGACACAGATTCCCTGGGGAAACACCGGAGGGATTATGAATGAAAATAGTCCATCGCTTAAGATCTCAATTGCCACAATGTAATCGATAGAGATATATAGATAGATGGAGAGAGAGAGAGAGAGAGAGAGAGAGAGAGAGAGAGAGAGAGAGAGAGAGAGAGAGAGAGAGAGAGAAGAGAGAGAGAGAGAGAGAGAGAGAGAGAGAGAGAGAAGAGAGAGAGAGAGAGAGAGGAGAGAGAGAGAGAGAGAGAGAGAGAGAGAGAGAGAGAGAGAGAGAGAGAGAGAGAGAGAGAGAGGAGAGAGAGAGAGAGAGAGAGAGAGAGAGAGAGAGAGAGAGAGAGAGAGAGAGAGAGAGAGAGAGAGAGAAGAGAGAGAAGAGAGAGAGAGAGAGAGAGAGAGAGAGAGAGAGAGAGAGAGAGAGAGAGAGAGAGAGAGAGAGAGAGAGAGAGAGAGAGAGAGAGAGAGGAAACAGATTAATTAAAAGAGGAAGCAGTCGAGAGAGGAAACAGATTCATGAAAAGAGGAATCAATCGATAGAGAAAAAAACAATGAAGGAAAAAGTGAAATGAGAGGAGAGCGAAGCGCCCGCTCGCCTCACCAGCAAAATACTCGTCGATGTCCGCCATGGTCGGCCTTGGCTTGTTCCGGAGCAGCGTGTACATGGACATGACCATGCCGGGCGTGCAGAAGCCGCACTGGGAGCCGTGGGCGAGGGCGATCCTCTCCTGCACCGCATGGAGGCGCGTCTTCGTAGATCCGATGCCCTCCACAGTCGTCACAGCAAGCCCGTGCAGCGACGCCACCGGAGCCAGGCACGCGTTGGCTGAGTAATGTCTGGAAGAATGAGACACTCAGGTCGAGTTCATGAATGGCTGTCGTGGTAGAGAAAGAGGACGTTGCTCTTACTCTAATGCGATATGAAATTAATGTTGGTCTTATTGTAATGTTGGATTATCTTACTATTAATGTTGTTCCTACTATAATGTCGTATTTTAAGAGCCCCTTACGTGATGGAAGTAAAGGTGATACTTAAATGTGATTAAGAAGACATTCAGATTTACGCCATAGTTTGAAAGGAAGGTTATAGATGGAAGTAGTTACCTGATTTACATTCCCAGAATAATACACTTGCCATAAAATAACCGTTTCGGCGTAGATCACAGGGCTACGAGATAAGACGAAGCTAATAAGACACTACTTTTTGACAGCCAAGTAGTCAAAGCCAAGTACTAAAGAAAGAAAATCCTGTTACATATTTACTGCAATTACGTGACAACAGCAGAATAAAGGGGATTATGTTTGGGCTTATGTCTGTAAAGCGTTCGTGGTGTTTATAGCATTACTGTGATATAAAGTGACTCTACTTCATATGGCTTCCGTCTTAAGGTTGCTACGGTATTATGAAAAGATATTGTAAAGTGAGGAAGTATGATGCTGTGTGTTTTTTTTATATTCTCTCTCTCTCTCTATCCCTCTCTCTCTCCTTAAAATGACTCTCTTTTAAGGATACACTTTTCGCGAAGGTAAGTCAGCAGGGTCACTTCCGGGTCCACTTCCGCGTCCTCCAGCTGCCAGGGAGAAAGATCGAGACGTAAGCTTCATTCAGAAGTGTTGATAAATGGATCGTGATGAAGTAATGATGATAGTGGTGGTGGTAATAGTAATTGTAGTACTGATAGCAATGGTGATGTTTTTTTATATTCTCTCTCTCTCTCTCTCTTTCTCCCTCTCTCTTTCTCCCTATCTCTCTCCTTAAAATGACTCTCTTTTAAGGATACACTTTTCGCGAAGGTAAGTCAGCAGGGTCACTTCCGGGTCCACTTCCGCGTCCTCCAGCTGCCAGGGAGAAAGATCGAGACGTAAGCTTCATTCAGAAGTGTTGATAAATGGATCGTGATGAAGTAATGATGATAGTGGTGGTGGTAATAGTAATTGTAGTACTGATAGCAATGGTGATGTTTTTTTATATTCTCTCTCTCTCTCTTTCTCCCTCTCTCTTTCTCCCTCTCTCTTTCTCTCTCTCTCTCTCTCTCTCTCTCTCTCTCTCTCTCTCTCTCTCTCTCTCTCTCTCTCTCTCTCTCTCTCTCTCTCTCTCTCTCTTCTCTCTCTCTCTCTCTCTCTCTCTCTCTCTCTCTCTCTCTCTCTCGTTCTCTCTCTCTCTCTCTCTCTCTCTCTCTCTCTCTCTCTCTCTCTCTCTCTCTCTCTCTTTCTCCCTCTCTCTCTCTCTCTCATCTCTCTCTCTCTCTTTCTCCCTCTCTCTTTCTCCCTCTCTCTTTCTCTCTCTCTCTCTCTCTCTCTCTCTCCTCTCTCTCTCTCTCTCTCTCTCTCTCTCTCTCTCTCTCTCTCTCTCTCTCTCTCTCTCTCTCTCTCTCTCTTTCTCCCTCTCTCACTCCTCTCACTCCTTCTTTCACTCCTCTCTCCTTCTCTCTATCCCTCTCTCTATCCCTTTCCTTATCCCTCTCTCTATCCCTTTCCTTATCCTTCTCTCTATCTCTTTCCTTATCCCTCTCCCGCTCTCCCTCTCTCACTCCTTCTCTCTATCCCTCTCTCTCTCCTTCTCTCTATCCTTCTCTCCATCCTTCTCTCCATCCCTCTCTGTATCCCTCTCTCCCTCTCTCCCTCTCTCCCTCCTTCCTCCCTCTCCCTCTCTCTCTCCTTAAAAATGACTCTCCTTAAAGGATACACTTTTCGCGAAGGTAAGTCAGCAGGGTCACTTCCGGGTCCACTTCCGCGTCCTCCAGCTGCCAGGGAGAAAGATCGAGACGTAAGTTTCATTCAGAAGTGTTGATAAATGGATCGTGATGAAGTAATGATGATAGTGGTGGTGGTAATAGTAATTGTAGTACTGATAGCAATGGTGATGTTTTTTTATATTCTCATTCTCTCTCTCTCTCTCTCTCTCTCTCTCTCTCTCTCTCTCTCTCTCTCTCTCTCTCGTCTCTCTCTCTCTCTCTCTCTCTCTCTCTCTCTCTCTCTCTCTCTCTCTCGTCTCTCTCTCTCTCTCTCTCTCTCTCTCTCTCTCTCTCTCTCTCTCTCTCTCTCTCTCTCTCTCAAATCGTTAATTAAATGGAAATCAAATTGTTAATTAAGGAGAGAAATATTAATATTTTGTGTATTAGTTGAAACTTGGTTTCACCAAGAAATATCAAGCAGTCTCATCAGCATCCCAAACTTTCATGTTTACAGATGTGATGCAGGACGTGGAGGTGGAGTCTACATATGTGTAGGCGATACCCTTAAATCAAATACGATCTCCTCTGCAACTGTAAATCATACAGCAGTAGAGGACATCTGGGTAACCGTACAAAGCAGAATGCATCCTTCCTTCCTCGTTGGCACAATCTACTGACACTCTCATGCCACCACAGAATCATTTGACTACCTAGAAAATATTCTCAGAGAAATGTTGATAAAAATAACACCACTTTTCATCTAAGGTGATTTAAATGATGATCTAAATAAACCAAATGCGAAGTTAAATGGGATAATTAACAAAAACAAATTAAAACAACTTATAAAGAAGCCTACAAGGATTACAGAAAACACCACATCCATATTAGATGTTATCATAACAAACAGACCCGATATTACACTACACGCAGACGCTGTCCCTTGCCACATCACTGATCACGAGCTTATAACCATGACCTTAAATATAGAAAAAAAAACAAAGCGAAAACCAATTAATAAAACCTCTCGCGACCTAATGCATTACGATCCTCAGTTACTCTGCCAACATATTATAGCCAATGACTCGTCACTGTCAGAGATCTTAACAGCTGATGACGTTGACAAACAAGTTAATATTCTTACAAACGTGATAAAGAATGGCCTCGATGCCTGCGTTCCTTTTAAAACAAAAACAGTTAGGCGTCCTCCCGCCCCCTGGGTAAATGACAACATTAAGAGGGCCATAAATGATACAAAATAATACACACAAAGTTCTCAAGATAAACAGATTTGACACCACCCTTCAGGCTGAATACAAACAAAAGAAGAAAAATGTGAAAACACTCCTCCACTGTGCGAAAACTAATTATTTTAAAAATAAGTTCAATGAATGCAGAAGCGATTCTGCCGAAACGTGGAAACTAGTAAATACATTAGTGTCCAAGAAGAAACAAAACACAGACACTTCTCAAAATTCCATAAATAATATAGAACACTTTAATAACTTCTTTGCAGAAGTAGGTAGACGTACTTTTGAATAGACAACCACCTCCACATATCAACACAACACAACCTTTTCAGACCGCAACTAGTAGGAGTAGAAACAATAAAACACTTAAAAAATACAAATTCCGTAGGAGCAGATGGAATTGCCCATCGTTTCATAAATGATAGTTTACGAGCAATTGCATACTGTCTGATAGTGATTATTAATACATCTATAGTCACCGGTGTTCATCCATCACTTTGGAAACACGGCATCATAACTCCGATTTTCAAATCCGGTGATAGAGATGACATTAATAATTATCGACCCATCACTATACTACCAGTAATATCTAAAGGTCTCGAGAAAATAGTTGCAAACGAATTAACATTTCTAACATGCAACACGGCTTTAGGAATGAATTATCAACCGAAACGGGATTACTAAAAGTCACAAATGAAATTTATAATAATATAGACAACAACCAGATCAATTTGCTCACTCAATGTGATTTATCGAAGGCCTTTGACAGTGTCAACCATGAATTACGTGAAAACAAATCACGGAATTGATAATTTTTGGTTCAAAAGTTACCTGTCCGCGAGAACTCAAAGCAATCAGTTTCGTTTGGTGTTCCACAAGGCTCCATCCTTGGCCCAATCTAATTCCTTATTTTCATAAATGATTTGTCATCAATTGCAAAAAACTGTCTTCTTGTTCAGTCATCTCTGAGTCTAGCCGCCGTAGCGATCGGACGTGTTTTTGCCTCCTCTCCGCCGCAGCCAAACAGCTCAGCAAACCATGCCGTCTCATGGTCCCGCAAAGTCAGAGGGCAACCTGACTACCCTCCCCGGGTCGAAGGGGGCCAGCCAGGGGGCTTCCCCGGTACTTCCTCATGCAGCTAGCTCGAGCTCTCTTCCCCAGAGTGAAGGGGAACCCTTATCCCAGGGTATCGTGCCCCCTCCCGAGGGTAACGGGGCCTCCGCCTAAGGCAACGGGCCCCACGGCAGCGCGGGTCAAAGCTGCCCCACCGCCCATGTTAATGGGCACCCCCACGACAGCTGGGGTCAAGGCTGCCCCTCTGCCCAGGGTACAGGGCTACTTAGCAACCCTGGCATCCCTTCCAATGAAAACAGTGTATCCAGTGACAACAGTGACGACATTGATAACAGTGATTACAACAAAAAAGCAGTGTATCAAATAGGCAACATAACAATAGTGCTGAACACCATCCTTTACTTTATCGCAACAAAGAGAGCATGGGCAAGGATGGTCTTGTGCGACCATATAAAGAAGCTGTACAGCCCTGAAGAAATTAATCAGGCTCACTACATCATTTTAGACATATCGGAATCTAGAAAACCAAGGAACACGACACGTGCCATCAAAAGGATGATAGTGGTCATCGTGCATACAATGATTGACCAGTGTTTAAATAATGACAAATTAGTGTTCGCAACGACAACAACAAACACTCCAACTACAGATTGGTCACCACCGAAAAAATCCACACCCTTTGTAAAAAATTTCCACAAATCAAGTCACCAAGGCACCCAGACACACAACGAGCCAGCTATGATCAATCAAGACATCATCGAAAACAAGATAGACTTACTGATTGGAATGTTCTGTGACCAGCAGTCAACAAAATGCTTGGCCAAAACGTGATGCCTACTCAGAAGTAGGAAGGCGAAGAGGAAGCATCACTCGCAGCAGATTCACCGAGCAGGACATGGAAGGTTTCGTCGCCGTCACCTCCAGAAAAGGGAGGAGAAAAACACGCGAGGAGCGTCAAACATCCAAACCACTACAAGGTGTAGAACGTCCCCAGGTAGTGTATTTATACATTACTAGTTGTCACCCTGACACAGAGGAAGAAGACATAGAAGACTTCTTTACCAAAGAATTTG